TGGGGGCAATATGCTGACTCTCTGTAAACCGCTTAGAGAGGCCTGTAAGGCCTATGAAGCGGTATATAAGTCTACTGCTATTGCTACTGCTATTGCTAATCCTGTATTAGACAGGAAAAGCCCTGATTTCGGCAACAATTAAATTAGTTACAAATGTTTTCCCTGTGCCCCTAGAAGCCATACATTTGTCCTCAAAAATAATCAAAGTCTTGTTGAAAATGTCTGGACCAAACGTAATTTCTAATATTGAATTTTCCCCGTTACCAGAGGGATCCCCCTTGTGGAGTACTGTGAAGCTGTTGCCTGCGCTGTACAGTAGAAGCCATTTTAAGGCACAACAGGCTGTATCTTAACAGAACACACACCCCAAGGGGAGTTACCGGTGTCTTACACCAACAGTATTTGTTTCCAGAGAGTAAGCCATCAGGGGTGGGTTCTGGCAGCCACTACTGCCGGTTTGCTAGTGGTTGCGCGGTGCACGCATGCACATGATGTATGCTGTGTGCGCATGCACAGTACTATAAAAATGCTTCTGTGTGAAGCCAAAAACAAGATGGTGGCGCCTATGGCGGTGACGGGAGAACCAGTTCAGGGGCGTGGCAGGCCTGGGTCGCTGCCAGTTCCAGCCACCCAGGCCGCCAAACCACTACTGGTTCAGCCAAAGCGGTTGGAACCCACCACTGATAAGATATTTTCTCACTACAACAATAGTAAGAAGACTGAAGAAATGAGCCTTCTAATTAAAATATACATTTGTAAGTTACATATACCAACAATACTACTTACTGACTACTCCAATTAGTTTATTGCCCCTACCTGCATGCTGTTGATCTTGTTGTCATAGCCATGATCTCCATGAAAATAGCACTTCCCTATTATTTTCTTAAACACATCTCCAGGCCTCCTAAGATATTAAGAAGATTCTTGAATATATCAGCAGTTAATTTCTATAAACATTATGGTTCAACTTCCAGTGGACTGAAAAAAATATATAGCTGATCCACAAATCTCTAAAGAAACAAAGGAACTTTTGTTTTCTTTCCCAAATGGTGGTTGTGGAGAGCAGCATTCTCAGCAAGCCACAACGACACAAAAATAACAACGCACACACACACACACACACTCACACAGAGTAACACCATTGTACAAAGTGTGCCTCTATGTAGTTGCATCTCAGCAGCTGGAAAGTACTGTGGTTAATTATGTGATTAATGCCATTGCATCATGATGCAGGTCTCACATATTTCAACCCATTTTGATGGCACATATGTGCTACTATCAACTTCCATCATAAGATTAGTGTCTGTTGGAAGTCTATAGAGATTCTCAGTCATCCAAGTCATGATTGTCCCAAAGGTGCTTTTTCAGGAGGCAACTGGACTTTCTTGTTGTTGTTTTTTCTTTTGAAGAAGTTTCACTTCTCATCCAAGAAGCTTCTTCACCTCTGACAGGATAGTGGGGAATGGAAGGATTTATATTCCTTGCAGACAGCTGGTCATTTGTATCCTTTTAGAGAGTCACTGAAATACTTGGAAGCTTATCTGTGTCCTCAGGGTCACCTAAGTAGTGCTCCTGGTTCCTGTAGACTGCAATTTTTCATCTGGAAATCCATTCGTACTCCCACACCAGAGCTCTACTCAGTGACCCTGAGGACACAGATAGCAATAGCACTTAAATATATACCGCTTCACAGTGCTTTACAGCCCTCTCGAAGTGGTTTACAGAGTCAGCCTATTGCCCCCAACAATCTGGGTTCTCATTTTTCCCGACCTCAGAAGGATGGAAGGCTGAGTCAACCTTGAGCCTGGTGAGATTCGATCTGCCAAACTGCTGGCAGCCGGTGATCAGCAGAAGTCGCCTGCAGTACTGCACTCTAACCACTGCACCACCATGGCTCAAGGACCTTCTAAAAAGGATGCAAATGACCAGTTGTCTGCAAGGAATATAAATCCTTCCATTCCCCACTATCCTATCAGAGCATTAGTGTCAGTTGATAAGCATATCATAGGAGCATTATATATAAGGTGCATTAGAGTGAAAAAAAATATCTCATAGAAATTCTAAAAAACAATGTTATTTTTTTTCTTTAAAAATAAGAATTTTTAATACATCTTGACTTTAATCTAGTGAGCTTTTAATGGCTGGAAAATACTGTTTTACGGGCTAAATCTGGCCTCCAGATTATGTATTGTCTATTGTGTACTACCTAAAAATGCATTTGTAAAATAAAGATGCTTTGAATAGTAGGAAGTCTGGTCACCTAAATTATGTTAGAATGTTTTAGTTGCTTAACTCAGAAGACGCTATGAAATAAGGAACCCATGTTGCTCTTACTATGATTTTGAGCCAAAGACTTACCAAAATGTATTTTTAAAAAATTCCATACAGATTGGGTGCAGAAGTGTCATATCACAACTGATTTCTTAACGATTGCCCAAAATCACAGTGAACTAATCAGTTAAGGGAGTTTGCAGCAGAGGTGGTATTCAGCAGGTTCTGACCAGTTCTGGAGAACCAGAAGTGGAAATTTTTAGTAGTTCAGAGAACCGGTAAATACCACCTCTGACCGGCCCCGGCTCCATCTACTGCCTCCCGAGTCCCAGCTTATCAGGAGGAAATGGGGATTTTGCAGTAACCTTCCCCTGGAGTGGGGTGGGAATGGATATTTTACAGTATCCTTCCCCTGCCACGCCTACCAAGCCACGCCCACAGAACCGGTAGTAAAACATTTTGTATCCCACCACTGGTTTTCAGACATCATATCTGGTTAAATGGGTGATCTACGGCAAGTCAAAAGGACAAGAAAACTCGTATTTACTTAGCTACATGCCATCTTCTTTCCACCAACAAATGAATATCTTCGATTCTTCGGTTATTTGCATAATGCAAACGCTTAGGAAGATGTTGCTTCAGGTAAGGTTTGAAATGCTGGTCTGGCTTCTTGCACTGAAACGAAGAAAGCACATTTCAGTGAAGGGCTGTGCAAGACATTGGCCAACCTACCTGCTTCCTGGGGAAAAAAATCACTGTTTAGTGAGGATAAGCAGCCCCTATTTTGTAGACATTGTAAGAACAGCTGTAAGACTGTCACCTGGGGAAAACCTATCTATGTGGTCCTGAAGAGCTGACATTGATTTGGCAGTCCATAATCAGCCAATCAAGAGGGCAATTAATTTTCCCGAAAGAAAATGAGAAACTGGAATTGTTATGGAGGGGTCAAACCAACAGGGCTCTGAAAGTGCATAGGCATGCAAGCATGCACACACACATACATACATTGGGGGGGGGGAATTAAAAGCAATGCAGTTCTATTGCATGCATCACATACATTTGTTTACATTTGATTTATAATTTCCAATTGACCCCATGTGGGCTTGGCAGGGATATACAAAGGACTGGTTGTAGCCCCGGGGCCCATAAAAAGCCCAGGTCTGATCAAGGCCAAATGGTTATATCCTAGCATCAGATTCTCTTCTGTCTGAAAGCAGCTCCAAAATAGCTTTTATCCATCATTTAATTTAGTTTCCCTCTCTCCAATGAAAATGTTGGGAACTAAACTGTTGTTGTTTGTGGATATTCTGCAGTTTGCACTTCTGCAAACCATGGTTAGAACCACCACAACCGTTATACAACTTTCTCCGTGGAATCCACACTTATGAGAATTCCTCTGATAACACTCTGACTCTTCAGTTAAAGCCACACCTGCATTAATAAACCAAACTTCTTTCTTTCTTAACAACTACATAATTCCTTGCGGGATGGAGTCTGGGCAACTGACCGGAGCAAGTAGAGTGTTTAATGGCTAGACGCCCTTCCTGTTGCCAGTGTGGAGTTTTGTTCAGCAGAAATATTCTCAGTGTGGCCAGAGAGAGAAATATCTGCCTCTACCAGGATCGAACTCACAGCCTCCTGATTGTGAGGTGAGAGCTCCATCCCTAGGCCACTGCACCACTCCTAATTAATAAACCCAACTATTCAGAACTATTTTTTTTAAATGTGCTTTAAGAAAGAGAGGAGCATTAAAGAGATACTTACTGTGAGATTGGCCACAATGGCTTTGGGGTCAACTGTTATGTGGATGAGGAGATTTCAAGCAGAAAGAGAAAGAAAAGTCAAAAATATGCCAATAGCTGAATTTTCAACACATGAATGTTCATATGTAATTAGCTGCACTAAATTAAAGTACAAGTTTGATTATAGATACTTTTTTTTCTTGCAGAAGACTCACTGTAGGGCTTAAGGAAGAACATGACAGTAAAAAAAATGAAGTTCAGATCTCAAGATGAACCACTACTAGCAAACTTGGCCCACTATAGAACCACACAAATTTTTTTTGCAAGCATTTGAAGAAATGCCCTAGCTAATTTCTCTTTGCTCATGGTTCTCAGGATTTAATTCATTGTGAAGTAAAATCTTTTAGATCTCAAGGTTTCCCCCTCCCCCCTCCAAATATCTGGCTCTGTTTAACAACCAGCCTTATCAAGTAGGTAAATTTACCCGATGTATCAATCAGGTAAAAGAGAAATTGTCTTTGTAAACAGTAACTGTCTATCTCTGAATTTGGGAACATCTTTATAAATATTTTCCCTGCTGCCATAACTGTTGGAAGTAAAAATAAGAGACAGCACAGAAGAAAATGTACACATTTCAAGCTACAGGTGAATATAGGAAGGTAAACTTACATTTAACATTACTAGTAGCTTTGGCACGAATACGCCCTAGAGTTCCAGGTATCAATGTTATGTCATCCACATTAGACAGATAGTTGCTCAAATATTCAGTTCTTTCACAAATAACATCTTCCATTCCTACAGAATAAGCAGCACCAAGGCATTATTAAAAGAAGTATGTGTAGACATTTGCTATTCAAAGGTTAATTAATGAAGTAAGTTTAGGTCTCTTTCAGCTTTAAAAGATATATTGTCCATGGTTTTGGTCTGCAACCAATGCAATCAAAAGTATTTTGTGAGTTCTACCAAGATACTTCCTTTCTTGTTAGAAGACTGTGATCCTTTAGATTTTACAAATTTATAATAACAATTTTTTAATGGTGAGAAATCAGAGGGGGAAAAAAAATCTTAAAAATGGAATCAGGGGATGCATGTATTAGTCTAAGCTTGTTGTTTAACCCAGAAATAACTTCCATAAACTTAAATGACGTTGAATACGACTGCCATTTCAGCAATTAAAAAACATTAATGCACTGGATTAAGTTTTAAAGATTAAAGTATTCTCACAGATATAGTCTAAGTAGCAATAAGAAGAGGATTCTAACCAGGAATGGGCTTCAAAAACTTTAGCAAGGAGTTCTCTGCCCAGTTGCTGGGTGGGTGTGGTCATGGTGGGCGTGGCCTAGTCAGCCTCCTGCACCACGGTGGTGGGGGCGTTTTAGCCCTCCCAGGCTCCGGAAGCTTTCATCAAGCCTCCGGGAGGGCGAAAACGGCCTCCCCAAGCTCCAGAGGCCCTCTGGAGGCTGGTAACAAACTTTCCGAACTTCTGGTAGGCCCGTTTTTCACCCTCCCTGAGCCTCTGCACGTACCCTGCAATTTCCTGCCTCCAGAACGGGCCGTGTGGGGGTCTCCTGGGAGGGGCGGGATAGGCGGGGCCAGTCAGGTGTGAGATTTGGGGGTTCTCCAAACTGCATAGAATCTTAGCTAAAGGTTCTCCCGAACCCCTCCAAACTCCCACCAGCTCACCCCTGATTCTAACCCCTGAAGTTCTGAACAGCAGCCAAGAAGTCTTATCAAGTTAGCCATTGTGATAGTCAAAAATGTGAATTAGAGAATAAAATTATATGAAATCATCAAATCTGTTTATAATCACCTAAAACTCAAGTTTTTAAAAACCACAAAATTGTGTTGTGGATTAGCTGTTCAGAAATCCATTCACAATCGATCTGTTCTAAAAACTTTGAATGTTATCTTAGGCTGAGCCCATATTGTGTGCTGGCATCTAAGTGCAATTTCAGTTCAAATACAGTTCATCTTAATAGCCCCAAAGGTACTTTTTAAAAAGGCAACTGGACTTTCCTTTGTTTTTCCTCAAAGATGTTTTGTTCTCATTCAGCAAGGAAAAACAAAGTTGCCTCTTGAAAAAGCACGTTTAGGACAACCATGACCTGGATGGCTGAGAATCTCCATAGACACTCAACAGATTAATAAATTGCCTCCCAGTAGAAATGAAGACTTTCCTACATCAAAACCAAGGAAAACTTTTCAAATTACCGTGATCACCCACGAAGATAATGTTGGCACATCGGTGTAAGTTCAGCTGCTTTAGTCCATCCATTAGTTGCCCAAGGATCTTGTCAATATCTCTTAGTGGACCTAACATCTATACATACACACATATTTACACAAAGAGGGAGAATTAACCTTCTTTTTTTAAACTGTACTACAAGTTTTACACTATGAGCCCCCTTTCATCTGATGATATGTTTTCATAAGCATATATTATATTATATTAATTGTACTATACTATATTATATTATATTACATCAATCTCTCTGAAGCATTACTTTACACCAAATACCAATATAGAATTATGGTTTTTGAGTGGCTAATCAGATATTTTTGTATAAAAGAAAAGACTTGATAACAATAAATTCATCCATATTATTCCTCAGCAGCTGTTTTCAGAGATATTCTGACTCATCCCTCTGAGCAACTTAAAGTCTAGAGATGACTGATAGTTTTTAATCTTTCCCGTATTTATTCTCTTTCAATATATTCTTATTATGAGAATTATGAAAATATTAAGATATTTGGAGTATCTTATTATATTCAAAACAGCATGATCACTTCTAATAATATCTGAAATAAAGAACAGTTTTAAGATTTTTCCATAAAACCTACAATGTACCTGTGGGCTCTAATTCATAATAGGAGAAATCATTCATCTTTAAGAGTTAAGCAAACTCAAAGAAATTCTAACAAGCTTAGAGTTATACTATAATGTGCACAGGTGGTGGGTTCCGGATCTCGTTGCAAACAGTACGGGGCAATGGGGCCCAGCAGCCACCACATGAATGTGCACACGCGCGCAGTGCGCACATGTGTCCTTACCTCCTGGGATGTTCCGCAATGCCTCTGCAACACTCCAGATGCTCGGCGGAGTGTCACGCAGGCGCTGTACGCTGCGCGTGCGTGCACAGATGGCCCCTTTCCTTCAAATACAGGTAAGGAACGAGGGCGGGTGGGTACCGTAACGGTACCCGGTGCTCCCAGCAGGCACCTGTACGCCCGTACCGGGGCGTATCGCCTGCAACCCACCACTGATGTGCACCCATAGTCTTCTGATGTTGGTGTTAAAGAATATCACACTTACACTGTATCATTGTGATGAGCTATGGTTCTTTAACCCTTTTTTAATCCCTAAAAACATAAGCTCATCTCTAGAAGCCATATTCTAAAATAAAGAATCAAGCATAGAACCAGGATTATTTTAAAACAGAGCGATGGGTCACTTCAGTTCATAAAGTTCTTGGGATAATATTTTTCCAACCTTAATTTCTAACAGTACATTTATGTTAACAAGCTAGAAGATGGGAATCCATGCATCCTGCAGGTTTCATGGACCTCATTCAGTGAATGATTTTTAAAAGCAAAGTTGAGGAGTCCTTTAAGAATGAATGCAGCTGGACATGATTTATATATAAAGCATGACACAGAAAAAGCTTCTTTCCATTCTCTCTTCTCTTTCAATGTGAGAACTCCAGTGTTCATCACAGGGCACATTCCTGAATCTCAATTGAATGATTTGGGTAGCTCTCATTTATTTCTTTTAAGGGAAGATTTGTCTTTGATGGTAATATTATGGTATTGCCAAGATAAAAAGAATAGCATATCCCATTTACATCCTATGTCCAAATTCATCACAAAAGTCTGAAGAGGCATTTCATATGGTGAAAACACTCAAACATCAACTTGAATCCATTGCTACAGGTTCACATGGTCAACCTTTCATGCTCTTAATCTATGTTTAAGCCATATCCGTGTCCTATACAGATTCTATATACAGTGTGAAGGCACTTTATGGATACAGGACTTCCTTACAATCATATTTTCATTCAACTTGAGTGTTCAAATAGACAGCAGCCTCAGATAAATTTCCTTTGAACTTACTGATATTCATTGCCTCAAAATATTCATAAAGCTTCAAGCATCCTCCAGCATTGCAAAAATTTGATACCATATAGTTATCGGTCATGAAATAAGAAAGGATCACGGACCAATTCTTATGAATAAGGTTTTATTTGATGTCTCCTGCTAAAGGAATCCAATGTTCACAATTTGTCATGTTGTGAACAGGAGTAACCTGGCAAAATTTAACAGAACAGCAGAGTTGGAAGGGACCTTGGAGGTCTTCTAGTCCAACCCCCTGCTCAGGCAGGAAATCCTATACCATTTCAGACAAATGGTTGTCCAAACTTTTCTTTAAAACTTCCAGTGTTGGAGCATTCACAAATTTCTTCAACCCATTGCAAGTTTTACAAATAGAACTTCCCAGAGGGCCAAATAATCAGTTCCAAGAAATTCATTTTGGCTGGAAAAAAAACAACTGTAAGGGTGACAATAAGCATGATTCTACAGGCTAATCCAATGTGATCCATCTGTGGGTGGAACAGTTTAAATGGATTTTTGCATCTGAGTCCTGTGATATTTAAAAACAATTGTTAAGAAGGGTTTAAAGCTTGCACCAAGAGACAAAGAATGCTACCCAAAGAAGAATGGGGAGGAGGAAAAGATAAACATCAAATGAACTCAACTGCTTGATGGCAATCTGTGGTTGTTGCCTTTCAAGATGGCTGCACTGAAAGTTCAATTTGGAAGAAGTTCATCCCAAAGTTGGGAGGACCAAAAAAAAAAATCAAGTTGTTTAAGATTCTCAGTGGTTGATATCTACCAGTTTTGAAAACTTACTTTGTTCCGACGGGATTCCGCAGACAAGTGTTCCATTCTAGGTACTTTTCGTCTTCTCTTGGAAGGAGCAATACGCCTTTTCAGAATCCTCTTAGGACTGATTTTTCTTTTAGGTCTTTTAGGTGGAGTAAGAGGAGACCCAAAACTACTCTCCTGTACTGACGGAGAGAGATGCTTGGACTCAGAAAAAGCTCGTCTCAATATCAGATCGTTAAAAGCTATCCGTCTCTAAGACACGGCACACCAAAACTCTTGGTTCAAACCATCTAATACTGGTCAAGTCAAGATCAAGGTTGAAAAGAAGAATTTAATTATTTGTGATAATACCCTGTTTCCCCCCAAAAATAAGACCTCCCTGGATAATAAACCCAATCAGGCTTTTGAGCGTATGCGCTGAAATAAGCCCTCCCCCCCAAAAAACCCTCCCTGAAAATATTGCAACACAGCAGCGGCCATGAGGTGACCATGCTTGCCGCCTCCTGCATCTCAAAAATAATAAGACCTTCCGAAAATGAGGCCAAGCACTTATTTCAGGGGTCAAAAGAAACTAAGACCCTGTCTTATTTTTGGGGAAACATGGTAGTCCTGAGGTCTGCAGGAAACAACATTCTGAAGAGGATGTCCGGTTTGTTTGTTTTGGGGTGTCAATACTCTTTTCATGTTTATCAAGAGAAAAAAAGCATCAGTAGCAGGAGCCATTGCTATTACTGGATGCTCAACAGACTTATGTTTTAAACTGCTCTAACAATTCAATGCTTCACTAGTTAAATAACAGTACGCTACCAATTCTCGTTTGCTGGAGAGAATAAATTAAAATTGTTCATATGTTTTTATACCGCCGAATCCTCAGTCACTATCAACTCCATGCAGCTGGAGGCATGCCGTTTTTAAAACACCTCCAGAAAGAATGGCATTATTAACTGGATAATGCAGAAGGCATAAGTATTGACCTATAATTCATTTTGATCTTTAATGGGAGGGGAGAGGAAACTCTGAGCAAACACACTCTGCATTTGCTCCCTGTATTATAGGATAGCCTTAGATTAGGATATAGGATATTGTTAGATTTAGCTACATGCTTTCCACGATTATTGTGCTTGACATGTGAGAAAAGGCTTTAAAAACTACTGTGTTTCCCCGAAAATAAGACAAGGTCTTATTTTCTTTTGACCCCTGAAATAAGAGCTTGGCCTTATTTTCGGGGAGGTCTTATTATTTTCGAGGTGCAGGAGGCGGCTGCTGCTGTGTTGCAATTTTTTTCGGGGAGGGCTTATTTTAGCACATGCGCTCAAAAGCCCGATTGGGCTTATTATCCGGGGAGGTCTTATTATTTTCGAGGTGCAGGAGGCGGCTGCTGCTGTGTTGCAATTTTTTTCGGGGAGGGCTTATTTTAGCACATGCGCTCAAAAGCCCGATTGGGCTTATTATCCGGGGAGGTCTTATTTTCTGGGAAACGGGAGGGGGAGGGGAAGATATGAATGAACCACTTATTAAGAGGAGGAGAAATCGTCTGAAAACAACAGAGCTGCAGTCCCAAGCAGTGCAGAGATGCCGGATGCTATTCGAACTGATCTTTAAAAGAAGCAACTATGCATGCAACTCCAATTGACAGCTACAATAAGAGTTCTTGGCAACTTTTAGGATCAGATTTCCCCGAAGAGAGAAAGATAACACATACAGGAAGATAGTTGCAGCTTGTTTATTTTTTTAAAAAAAATGGAGAAAAAGAGAAGCGAAGAGAAGGGAAGTTGAAAATTGGCAAGGATTTTACAAGGCCATTTGCTTTCTATCTGCATAGCCATTCTCCATCTTTGCTGTTCCAATCGCAGAGCCATGTTCTTGGAAGATAGTAATTTTAAAAACCCAGTATTGCCATCTGCCATGCCATTTCTTTGCTCTTGGACAAACAGTTGGAAAGGAAGTGCTAATCCAGTTCCATTTCTCTCTATCTTTCCAAAAAGCAGCTTCAATTTTGTTTTGTTTTTTTTAAAAAAAGGAGAGGAAAAAAGAAAAAGAATAGAAGAAAAAAGAGTTCAAGCTTCGTGCAGCCTTGATGAAAGCAGCAGCAGATGGAGGAAGGATTCTCAAAAGCTTACTCACTCTTTCCAAGAGAAGCGCAGCCAAAGTTTTAACTTATGCCATCAAGTGGGTCTAATAAGAAGAACCCCCCCCATTCCAGGGTAGCATGTTAGAAGAGCAGCAGAGCAGTCCTTAAGCGTACGGATGTTGTCCAAGTCACTGATCATGGTAAACAGCATTGATATAAACATTCACAAAAGGGATAGCTTCATCTTTCGTAAGAAATTAAAGCTAGGAAGAAAGCCAAATCTGTATTAATCAGCCAAATCTTAGCTTTACGTTGGAAGAATGAGATCAATGTAAGCCGAGGATGATGACACACCTAAAATTGAA